TTTTTTTAAATTATTGAATGCTAGCTAACACCTACTTTGTTGATATTAACAGCAACCAAAAATGGAAAAACAGTGTCCGCATGAAATTAGTCGAAAACTAATTTCAGTGCCGCTCAACAGCACAAAAAACGTCTAATTCCACTACGGAAGACAGATGCTATGAATCATGCAGAACGTCGAAATTTCATGATTTTGGATGATGTCTGGCGTTCTGGCGGAAGTGAATGTTTTCAAGTGAGTTGAACTCGATGAATTTCCTGATTTACGTTGAAAAACAGCGAGCGCGTAGCCAGATGATTGGCTAATAGTAAGCAATCTAATGTTATGCATATTTCTCTCTGCAAAGTAAGTCCAAAGATGAAAAGTAATCCTGAGGTTCTTTAAATTTTCAAGAACCTATTTCATCTTCTTTGCAGGTCTACAATCCATTGAACTTTTAGGAATAAAAACCGCAGAAAAAGAACTTGGTCCCTTAGGGATCCATATGATGCAATTTATCTCCATATGACGTCTGCTTTCGAACGTTATGTAAAAACAAGATCCTAGAGATGATAAATTGTAAAAATCGCCAAAATGAAGTGCAGTGCTTCCACTAGGGAGCTGGCAATGGATTTTTTCGTAGAAGTTTACACCTAAGAATTTCTTTGTGCAAAAAAGCTCAGAAATTTCGCTAGATAAAATTAGTATTTGACTTTTTATTTTACACTAGATGATGCCAATTTTTTGGATTAATATTAGATAATCCCTGATTAGCAGGAACCAGAAAGAACAATAAAAAATTTTCTACATTTTTTTGCGAATTTCTCATCATGTTTTCTCAATAAAAATTCGTGTTTATGTGCCGAGTAGGCATTTACTTGAGCGACTCGGGCCGTCGACTTGCTGTCGTCGTCAAAACGTCGCCTCACTCCTAATAGAGCCAAAAGAGTGTGACAAGAGCACTAAATGAACTTAGGACGTTGACGCCTTCGACTAGAGCCTCAAAGAAAAACACAAACTACAAAATAGCAGAATCTCAAGCAATGCCTATCCTTTGCATTCCAGATAATACCACCTGGTGGGATTGGACCAGATGGGGAGCCGATGTTTTTGCGGTTAAATATTGGCGGCACTCGTTATATGCTCCTTGTCGATGCTCTTCTCAGAGCCGATCCTTCGGGATTTCTAGCAAAATTCGTCCAACTCACCCATACTGCCAGATTAAAGGTCATTTGTAAAAATTTTCATGTATATGTGCGAAGATATTTTTATTGCAGGTTGCTGATGCTTATATCCCAGCGGAAGATTCCTATTTCTTCCAAAGATCTCCGGTAGCATTTGATGCTATATTTCAATACTATGCTACCGGCGTGGTTCATCGACCTTCAGAAGTAAGTCCATTCATTGAACAGTTGAAGCAAAGAAACATTTTCATCCATTATCACCAAGACAAGAAGTGATACATTATGAGGAACCGCTGTTTTGAGATAACAGCAGTCATCTCTCATTTTGATAAATCTTCTCATTTGTTC